TTTATAAATTTTATAATAAAATTTTATTGAGTTATTAATTTTTACATATTTAATAAAAAATTAGTATAAAAAAATTAACAAGAAAATGGTGAAATCAATCCACTATATAAAAAGTTAAGCAAAATTTTATTTTAAAAAATGTAGGAAGGAAAGTTTGTAAATTTAAAATTGTATAAAAAAATAAAGGTAAAATATATCATTCTAACTTTTTTTGTTATAATATTAAAATATAAAAAAACATAAATAATTTTATAAAAAAATTTAGAAAAGAATTTTCTTCCCACCAAACACCTCCCTTTAGGATACGTTTGGTTCACCAATCCCAGTCCTGGGAAGCCAACATTAAAAAATCATCAACTTGGCTCGAAATCCTGCACACAAATTAAAAAAAAAAAAAAACGATTATAGTTGGTAATAACATCTTGTCATGAATTATAATTGATTGAAATAAAAAAACAACCAACTATATTGCATTATAGTTGGCTATATTGTCCAGATTTCATTTCAAGCAAAAAACGAGGGTAGACTGCCTACCCGTGAAACTCGCAAATTTTTTTCCTTATAACAAACGATATTTAATTAGGTAAAATGTACAAATTCTCCCTCAAAAATGTCATATTAAAGTAAATTATCACTTAAAATAAATATTTATATAATTTGCCACTTTAAATTTTTATTTTTAATAAATTGGCCTAAGTTTAACGAATGGCATTAACTTTTTATTAGATTTTAAAAATAATTATTTAACAAAATTTAATAACAATCATTAATTTAAATCGATTTCTTAAAAATAAAAATTTAGAGTAATAAATTACGTCAACAACAATTTTGAGAGGACAGTTTACACATTTACCTCACTCTCCTCCTTTTTTTCTCTTCCTTTTTCCTCAACTCAAATATATGATAAACACACAAAATTATCACTTTTTTCTGCACCACTTACTTCTTTTTTTCTTTTTTTCTTTTTGGTTAATTGGACATTCTCTGGCTATGGTCTGATCAATAAGAGTTTCACCTCATTAGTATTTGTTAATTTAAAATTTTTTATTTGAAATTTAATTTAGGTGTTCAAATTTCTTTCTCATTAAACAATTAACTCACATGTAATTAAAAGAAATTAGCTATGTAGTGTAATAGAATAGAGTTTTTGTGCTCTTAAAGTATAGGGCTCAATCTCTAATATCTACTTGTCACTGGTATGTTTCTGAAACGACTTAGATCAAAATCCATCATTGACCTATCAACTCTTCAAGTTAAGGTTTATAAGTTCTCAAAAGTTTAAATTCAAGTTATTAATAATGGTTGGTTTTCAATTTTACTAAATTCACCAATGATTCCCCACCGATGTGGAATTCAAAATGTTGCAATCTCTTTCACTTAAACACTTGATATCTTCATCAAATTCAATCATAATCAAAACTAGACTCACTGGCCCATAAGTAAGGATCCACCTTCATTTGAGGTCCACATTTCTATTGACTGTAATTGTCAGTATGGGCACACACCTATAAGAGGTGATCATTCTAATACTAATTAAAATGATCCAAGTTAAAACCAATTATTGGCCTAATAACTCTTCAAACTAAAACCTGCAAGCCCTCTAAAACTCAAATTCAAGTTATTAATAGTAGTTACTCTTCAATCTTACTAGACTCGCTGATAATTTCCTACCAATGTGAAATATATTCGGGGCATTACAGTTTGGTTTGAGGATAATGGAGAGGAAGGAAGGAGAATGAAAGGATGTTATATTATTCTATTTCCTTTCACTCCCCTCTACTTATTTAAATAAATAAATAAATTTTAAAAAATAAACCAAAGGGATTTCCTCCCTTCCTTTCCCATCTATTAATCTCAATCCAAATGTACTATAAAAGAATTTTATACTCTAATATATGGTAATTTATAATAAATGCATATCAATTTAAACTATATATTTATATTAATTCACGTGTTCTTTTCTCTCTCTCTCTCTTTTTTTTTTAATCTTGGATTACACAATAAAAAATAATTATCTTCTATCTCTTAATCGACAATAATTGTATATGATAGGACTTGAATTAATGAAGATCTCATACTTTCATATAAAAAAAATTACCGTTAAACTATTTAAGTAGTGAACAACTCATGTATTACTTTCAAAAGAGGAGTTAATAAAATAATTGTGATATGTATGTTTTGTTGTCGAGAAATGTTATACATGAGTCATTTTCACTTTTTTTTTTTCTTTTGTGTCTTAAAGAAATAATGCGTAAATGTTAGTATAATTCAACAAAATCTTTTTTTAATAAATAATTCAAAAAAATCTTAATAATTTTAATATTCAATTTGTTTTGTTTAAAGTAAATATTTAGCCTTCATTTGATAATGCTTATCGACATTTTAGTTTTTAATTTTTATATCTTTTTATTATTTAAAAATATATAAAATATTAATTAAAATAAATATTAAATATATTTCATATATTTTTGAGATATTAAAAGATTAAAAAAACTTATAATTATGGTTGCAAGATGGTATTGTTAAACTAAACCTTACACGAATATGGTTAACAAGAA